AGGGTGGCAGCCGATGCCTGCGCCCCCACCCAGCCTGGGTCGCGGCTAGGGACCCGCGGGGGGCTGCGGAGCGGGCGCCCGCCCCAGCCCGCCCCTGGGCGGGTGTCTTCCGCAGACAATAGCTCTGGCTGCAGCGCCTCGCGGACCAGGAGGGAGAAAAACAAGTCGGAGGAGGCGGTGGCGCCGAGCCTGGAGACCCTCGCCCTCCCCATTGTGTCTCCCCAAGACCCCCGCAGCAAACAGTCCCCGGTTCTCTCTCCCAGAAGCGCCGATCTCGGGTCGCCTTCCCCCCATCCTGGGAGCAGAATGCACCCCAAGTCACTAGCACCGTGAAGAGGGGGCCAGCGGTGGTAGCCGATCACCGGGCGCAGGCCCACGATCGCCTCCCCCTCGCGGCCGAGACTCACCCTGAGGGCTGGGGGGCTCCGGCGAAGACTTGCCGGGAGCCCGGGAGGCGCCGCCGAGCAGCAGCCCCAGCAGCGGCAGCAGCCGCGCGAGGACGCCGGGGCCACTCGGCGGCGGCATCGCGGGGCTCGGCCGGGCCCTAGCGGTCCATCGCTGCCTCCCGGCCCCGCTCGGCCGGCCCCGCTCAGCCCCAGCTCTGCACGGCTCCGTGCAGCTCCGGCTTGGGCTCCCGCTCCGGCTGCGGCGCCCGCTCGGCTCGATTGTCTCCGCCCGGAGCGGCCGCCAGCGCCCCCTGCAGTCGGCGCCCGGCACGGCGGGCCTGCGGGCACCGCCCCCTCGCGGCCCGGCTCTGCCTGCAGCCCACCCGACAGCCCCCCACCCAGCAACCCAAGACTCCAAACAGCAAGGGAGCGCAGCAATTAGGGGGCAATTACCCGGGCTGAGGTTCGAGAGCTCTTGAGATATGGTGTCAGATTGGGTGGGGTGGGGTGGCCGTGTTGGAGAATGGCTATTGCTTACCCCTAAGGGCTGTGTGTGGTTCAAAAGGGTGAGAATCCCCTTCTCCCACAGGGACAGCTCCGCAGTCTCCAGCACTGAGAAGTAGACTTGTGGTCGCGTCTGGCCTCTCTCTCTCATGTCTCCCATTCAGAAACAAGCTAGGCAAGACATGTCCCTTACAGCCTTCAGGTCCTCACTCTGTAAACAGGGTGCTCTGCAACTCACTAGGTAGCCCAGACTGGCCTCGAACTCATGGCGATCCTCCGGCCTTCGTTTCCGGAGTGCTGGGATTTCAAATGTGAGCCGCCGTGGTCAACCTCATTTATCCTTTAAAATGACAATTATAATAATCTCTTCCTAGTGGAGTGGTTGAGATGCCGCGGGTGGTGCCACGAACCTTTAATCACAGCACTCATCTCTGGGAGCTCAAAGTCACCTTGGTCTACACAGCCAGTTCCTGGAACTCTAACACAAGTCTGACAGGAGCATGGGTGTAATAAACGGGCTGTTGTTGGTCGGGGGAGGAGTAACAGATCCCTTGTTGGTCGGGGGAGGAGTAACAGATCCCTTCTTCGGGAGGAGTCACCTGTCCAGAGAGGTCTTGGTGGAAGCAAATCTCCCTCCCACAGAGCATCCCGTGGGTTCCGGCTTCACGAAGGACACACTGGATCTTTCGCAGTCGCTGAACCCCACATTTGAAGACTTGCCCCAAACAAGCTTTCTCTCATTATTTCTGGTTGTTACCATCACTCCCCTTCCGTTCTGCGTGAGCAGGCCCTCATCTAACCCCCCCCCCACCCCCCGCCCTGTTAGCTCTTCAGCACAACCTACTACCCTCGAGGGGACCTAGGACAGGGAAGGCCACCCCCAGAGGACCCAGCAGGTCTCTCCCTCCCTCCCTCCTTCCTCTCTTCCTTCTTTCCTTCCCCTCCCCCCACTTCCATCTGTTTCTCTCTTCCTCCTCCTTTTTTTGGTAGTGTCTCACATGCAGCCTAAGCTGTCCTTGAACTCACAACCCTCCCACCTCAGACTGGAGTAGCTAGCCAGGAGTAGATGGGATTGCACACATCTCCTCCTTTTTAACAGACATTTCCATCTAACCATATTCCCCGGTTCTGTGCTTATGTAACCATTTTTTCCGGCTTTAGCACTCATCCTTGGTGAGTTTCATCTTGTTGGTCTCAACCCAACTTTACAATCTGTCAGGGCTGCCTTGAATCTGCTTCACTTGCCCGTTGTATCAGCACCATTTTACCACCGCAGCCAGGAGCCATCTGTGGGGCAGAGAGGCTTCGGCCACCTCCATTCAAGGAGCTCCTGACATCTGCAGGCAGCCCAGCGTTGAGATGGAGCTGAGACATCCCCGAGAGGACCCCCGCCCCCATTTTACCAGACTCAGTCAGGTCCAGATCCCAGCCACTACAATCCTGCTCACGTTTCTCTTGTTTGTAAGGAACAAATGCCGAGTGCTATGCTGGATCAAGATAGGTGGTCTGGACCAGTCAGTTGCAATGATTGACTCGAGAGGCAATTTGGCTGGCATTCAATGATCACAGCTTAATCTTTACTTAAATAGTCACAGTCACGCACCTAGAAACCTGTTCTGGAACCCGACACGCATGGATGTCAACTCATTGTTTTCAGAATTTACCATTTACCCCTCTGGGTACAATCGAGTATCGGCTCTTGTGAGGTCAATCTATTCACCTATGGCTTCCCTGGACACTTGACACTTCATGTTCAAGGCACAGCTGCGAGGTGTGTCTGCCCACCGGCCACCCCTTCCTCTCTCCAGCAGACATGTGCCCCAGGGCCATCCCCAGCCAGGCACAGCCACAGTGACCAGCCTCCTTGCCAGAACTTGCTCCCACCTCAGCACCTTGTCACGGGCAGAACTTTCTCTTCTGGACCCTCTACCCCATGCAGCAGTGTGGCTCATTCACTCCTCGGCTCAACTGTCAGAGACCCTTCCTTATCTACCTAACTACCCTTCAACTAAACTTTGGAAAGAGGCGACTCTGCCAGCACTCTGTCCTCTCTTTCCTCCTCCCCTCGCCTCCCCCATCTCCTCTCCTTTCCCTTCTCTTCGTCCACACACCCCTCCTCTTTGTCTGTCTCTCTCCCTACCCTCAGCCCTGTTGGTTGAACCCAGGGTCTTGAACACACTAGGCATCTGCTCTACCACTGAACTCAACTTTTCTCTTTCTTACTTTTTTTTTTTAATGTGACGGAAATGGTGATCTTTATTTAAAAAAAAAAAAAATGGGGGTGGGGGGTTTGGAAAGATGGCTCCTGGCTGTGGTGGTTAAGCACACTGGCTGCTCTTCCAGAGGTCCTGTGTTTAATTCCCAGCACCCACATGGTTCACAACTGTCTGTAATTCCAGTTCCGGGGGTCTGACACCCTCACACAGACATACATGCAGGCAAAATACCAATATACATAAAAGAAAAGGAAGAAAGAAAGAGACGTGAGTGGGGTAGTACACCATGAAAAGGCAAACACTCCAAGCCTTTCTTTTGAGACAGAGTCTAATGTAACCCAGGCTGGCCTCAAACTCTCAAACCCACCATGTAGTTGAAGATGACCTCACACTTCCGATCCTCCTGTCTCCACCTCATGAGTTCTGGTATACCATGCATGTGCTACCGCTCTTGCTATACACAGGGCCATGGACTGAACCTGACCAGGGCTTCTTGTATGCTAGGTAAACACCTTGCGCATAGAGCGGCATCTCTAGCCATATGATGATGATGATGATGATAAATATTTAATAATATATAATAATATTATTATTACTTTTTTTTTGTTTTTCCAGACAGGGTTTTTCTCTGTGTAGTTTTGGTGCCTGTCCTGGAACTCATTCTGTAGACCAGGCTTGGCTTTGAACTCACAGAGACCCACTTGCCTCTGCATCCTGAGTGCTGGGATTAAAGGCGTGCACCACCACCACCCAACTATTATTATTGAACACTGGGGTTAAAAGCCCGGCCCCTTCCTCCTATTTTCATTCACAGCTGTGGACATCAACGACTACTCTTTTATTTCTTGGTTTATTTCATTCATCTTCTTGAATGTAAGTCCCATGGGATAGAGACTAGCTTTATTTACTGCTCAGCCCTCAGCTCACTTTGGAATAGTTCTGTTATTTGCTCAGAAACCATTTCTGGCCAGGCAGTGGTGGCACATGCCTTTAATCCTAGCACTCGGGAGGCAGAGCCACGCAGATCTCTGTGAGTTTGAGGCCAGCCTGGGCTACAGATCGAGTTCCAGGACAGCCAGAGCTACCACAGAGAAACTCTGTCTTGAAAAACAAAACAAAAGCAAAAAACCCAAAACATTTCTGGAATATGTGAATCAACAAACCCCTAGAGGATGGCCTGACCTCTGTCCCCCAACTCCAGTCCCCACAGCTGCCCTTCTACTCCTCATCCCTTTCCTAGCAGAAGACCTGTTCCTCAGAAGGAAGGCATCAGGATGACTGCAGGGGACAACATCTGCTGTCCCCCCTGGTGAGATACTGCTCTCCTCAAGCTGAGCTCAGCCAGCTCTCTGCTGCCCCTCTTCCTCCAGAACATCTCTTTAAAAGGTCTTTCTTGGGGGAAGGGAAGGAAGACAGGAATGCCATGTCCCAAGTCTTGGACTATTTTGAGGTTTGTCTCTCCAAAGTTATGCAAAACGCACAGCTTACAGCTGCCCACCAGGGAGCCAGGCATGATAGCTCAGGCCTTTAATTCCAACACCTGGGAAGTTGAAATAGATTGATCTCTTCGGGTTCGAGGCCAGCCTGGTCTACACAGTGAGCTCCAGACCAGCCAGGGCTACATAGTGAGATTCTGTCTCAAAACAAAAAACAAAAGAGATACAAAACTGGCTACCAGGAACCCAGCCTTTCTTCTCTGGTACTCCTACCCACTGAGTCTCATGGGAGGCCCTTCCTTCCTTCCTTCCTTCCCGCTCCCTCCACCTGCTACCTTACTCTCTACTCCATTTGCTAGCTACCTTGTTGGTAGAGACTCATCCTGCTCCAACTCTCAGTCCCCACAAACATCCCTTCACTCCCCACTTTATCCTCAGATCCAAGGCAGCATGGTGGCTACTGACATCAACCTCTTTATTAGGCAGTAGGAAAGGGAATGTGCTGCTCTGCTGGGAAGGGAAGACCCCACGGAAGCGTTTGAACCCATGGAGTTCTGAGCAGGGCCAAGCGGTTGGAAACCGGAGGTGAAGCAGGCACCCAGCTTCCCCCCATGACTGAGCACTGGTGTCCTCACTCCTGGTCATCTTCCTCCAGAGGTGGTCGATTCCGCTTGAAGAAGCCAGCCTGGAGGGGAGGGGCACAGGAGCTGGAGTCAGGCACAGAGACTGGCTACACACCCCAGACAACCACTGAGGAAGGGCATCTGCTAGAAACCAGCTGCCTCAAAACCCGTGCGGTGGAGCTGCAGCCCCAGCATGAGAATGGGGATTTTTTTAATTGGGAGATGTTTCCCCCATAAATTAAAAAAAAAAAATCACATTTTATTTATTGATGTGTGTGTATCTTTGGGGGTCACCGGTTCTCGCCTTCTCCTATATGGATCCCAGGGTTAGAACTCGGGTCATTAGGCTTGTTGGCAAGCACCTTCATCCCCTGAGCTGTCTCAGCAGCCTCTGGTTTGGTTTTTGTTTGTTTGTTTTTTTTGAGATAAGATTTCCTTATTGAAAAATTTCCCAGGTCAGCAGGGCCTGGTAGCTCATGCCTTTAAACCCAGCTCTCTGAAGGCAGAGGCAGGCTGATCTCTAAGTCTGAGGCTAGCCTAGTCTACAGAGCTAGTTCAAGACTACACAAAGAAATCCTGCCTCAAAAAACAAACAAACAAATTACCCAGGTCAGACTGGCCTGTAGCCATGCCTTTGAAGCATTTTCCTTTTTAAAAAATTAATTCTCAAGATGGAGAAGAAAGGAATATAGAACAATGATTTCCTAAGTACAGAATCTCTGTTTTGTGTGATGGAAAAGCCCCACAAATGGACCATAGTAACAGGGCATAATATCATGAATGTAATAAATCAATACAATTAATGTAATTAATGAATATCATAAATATAGTTATTGAATGAATACTGTGAGTGTAATCAATGAATACCACAAATGTAATATCATGAGTGTAATTAACGAATATCATGAGTGTAATAAAAAAAGAAATAAAAATAAAAAATTAATTATTTTTATTTTATGTGTATGGGCATTTTGATTTTGCCTGCACGTGTGTCTGTGCACTACATGCATGCCTGGCACTAAAGAAACATGAAGAAACTGTCAGATCCCCTTACACTGGAGTTACACAGGGTTGTGGCCACGTGGGTGCTGGAACCGCACACTGGTCCTCTGGAAGAGAAGCCAGTACTCTTAGCCCACTCATCCTTACAGCCCCTGTGAGACATTTTCTTAATTGCTAATTGATGTAGGGGACCCAGCCATCTGTGGGTGGTGCCATGCCTGGGCAGTTGGGCAAGAAAGGTAGGTAAGGAAGTAAGCCTTTAAGCATCTGTCCTTCAAGGTTTCGACTTCAGTTCCTGCCTCGGCTTCTGTCGCTGACTGTGAAGTGTCCCATGAATGAACCCTTTCCTCCCCAAGTTTCTATTGGTCATGGTATTGTTACACTGCAACAGAAACCCAGCTAGGAGCCCCGCCCATAGCAGTCAGGGAGTTCTGATTCTGAGGGCAGGTCTCAGTTTCCTCTGACTCCCTGACAGTGGGGGAGGGGTCTAAAGACCTGAGGATTTCAGGCGTCCTGCTTGTGGGCATGGGTGGGATGGTACGTGCCCAGCACAAGTCCTCAGAAAAATGACATTCTAATAAAGGACATGTAGGTGAGACAGGTCCCGTATCCCTGGTCTCCTAGCTTGTGACCATCTAGGAACACTGAGCCCCGATTCCAGCCTCACCTTCCACATGGCCAAAACCAGCAGGGTGAGCAGCAGCAGACCGCCCAGGACTCCCACCAGCACCCACCAGATAGGAATGGCCCTGTCCTCCAAGGCCCGAAGCAGCAGTGTCTGCACCTGAGAGCAAACTGGATGTCACTTCAGGGGGACTGTGACCAGGGAGGAGGATGCCCAGCCAAGCCATCTCCTAGTAACCATACTTCAGTCCGACTGAGAGCCCGCCCCTCAACCTCAGACAGACTTCCCGCCCCTGGGCCCTGGAGAGGCCTCGTCCCACGCTGGCAGGTAGCGGACAGCGAGAGATCTAGGGTCGCTCACCAGAGCTTGTCCGCTGGGCAAGCTGAGCACCGGCACCGAGTAGGGTAGGGAGGAGACGTTGAACCAGGCATGCGACTGCAGCACAAACTGCTCCAGCGGCCTCTGTCGGGGGCGGGGTGGCAGACGCTTACCGCAGCCACTCCAGTCCAGGAGGTGGCAGCAAGCCAAGCCCGGGACTCCCAGCTTCTGAGTTGCCCGGGTTTTGCCCCGCCCCGCTCCGCCGGGAGGAAAAAGGCCCGGGTGAACCTGATGAAGCCCAGGGCAAACTCCTGCCCCGCCCTCACTGACCCCGCCCCGCAGGCCCCGCCCCCTCAGGCCCCGCCCCCGCGGGCCCCGCCCGCCAGCGTCCAGCCCCCACCTGGCGGAGGCTGGGCAGCCCCAGCATGGCCCGCACTGTGACCATGGCTCGTTGCCCGCGCACCATCTCCCGCAGCTCACATTCCACCACTGTACAGGGCGCTGAGTCGTTGCAGCTCTGAGGGAGACGGGTGGTAAGTCCCCAGGCCCTCCTGTCAATCATGCGCCATCAATCAAGGACTCAACACAGAGAACCAGGAGGGTCAGTGAGCGCCGGTCTCCGGCTGAGCTTCAGATAGTTTCCCTACATACTGTTTGCTCAACATTCCCAGGGATACTTAGACGAGGCCCGAAGGCAGGGGTCACCCATAGCCTGCAGTATTCAGTATTTTTGTGATATTGCTTTGGTTTTTTTTTTTTTTTTTTTCTGAGACAGGGTTTCTCTGTGTAACATCCCTGGCTGTCTTGGAACTCGCTCTGTAGACCAGGCTGGCCTCGAACTCAAAGAGATCCGCCTGCCTCTGCTGGGATTAAAAGCATGCACCAGGCCCGGCTTGCTTTGGCTTTTCTTTAGAAGAAAACTTAAACACCCATGTGTCCCCTAGCCCATTCTGCCAAGCGCCAGTCCAGCATCACACCCGCACCACTCCCCCTGCTTCCCATCTCCTCTGGCTCCTGAGGGCTCCAGCCGGTCCCGCTGAGTCTTCTCACCACCAGAACTGGGTCCTGCTGCCCCAGCGGCTTGGGTCCCTGCAGGAACGCCTGTCTGCGCTCGCGCTTGTGATGGACCGGGCGAATCGGGGAAGGGCCGGGAGTGCGTAGCGTCCAGTCCAGCTGGGGGGACAGGGACGCAGTGAATTCGCCTCCAGGGTCTGCATCCACACCCAGACCCTGCTCTGGCTGTTGATCTGCCCCCTCACGGCTCCTTCCCTCGCCCAGAGCCTCACCTTAAGGGGCTTAGGGGTCGGCTGTGAGGAGCAAAGGAGACCACCTTGGGGCTGCACATCCAGGATGTAGAGCAGGTCCGAGGGCTGGGACTGGCTGGGAAAGTGGATGGCAAGTCGGAGGTCACTCACAGCGCCGGGGCCATTGTTGTGGAGCTGGGGGGTGTGGAGACAGTGGGGTGCTGTGGCTCAGCGGGCAGCCTGCAGCTCCCAGGACCTCCCTCACCCCACTCTTACCCAGAGGCTCCTCCTTACCTCATAGGTGTGTTCCACCCTGGGGATCCAGCTGTCCAAGCCATCCTGCTCCCTCTCACCTTCTTCTGCTGCCACCACCAGGGAGGCAGGGATGGAATTCCTGCAAGTGCCCAAGCCCCCAGAGTGGGGTGATCCTCCAGGACCCCTCAAACTTTACCCTTTTGTTTTACAAGATACTGGGGATGGGATCCAGGGTCTTCCATGTGCTAATCATGAACTGTACCCATAAACTACACCCCACCTGCTCCTGGGAGCAATATCGCCCCCTCTGCCCTGTCCCCTTCCCATGCATGGTCTCTCACCCTCGAAGCTCCACGGTGGCCTCTGCTTGGACCGCCACAGGCAGCAGCAGAGCCTGACTGTTTGGATTCTGGCTGTTCTTGCTGGAGCGGGGAAGGGAGAAGAAGAAATTGAGGGACACCAGCTCCTTGAAGTGGATCCAGAATTTTCGACAGCTCAGGGGGAGTTAATTCCACCCCCAACAGCATGCTATACTGAAGTTAGATCGAGAAAGAATGTCCTCTAGGACCCCCCAAGACTCAGAAACAAGTCACGGAGGAAGAAAGGGGACAGACTTGGGAAGGCCTTTCCGTTCGGAAGGGTTTCCGCCCGAGGGTCAGCTGGAAGGGAGGTGGACAGCCATGCTGCCCAGCTCAGTACCTCCTGATCTGGAGCTGGAAGGACACATACTGTCCAGCCTCTTCCAGGTTCTCCACACTCACCAACATGGTGATTCCTATCTGGAAGAGGGAAGCACTGAAGTCACTACCCCAGTGTGCACTCTGGGTCCAGTCCTCCCCCGCCACAGCCACCATTATTATCCCCCCTCCACACCCCCAGGAGCCCACCTACCCTAAGATGTAGCTAGCGTTGGAAGACCTCCTGACTCCCACCTGAGAGCCCCCCCCCACCAGGCTGTCCCCAGGCCCACATCATGGAGGCCTTACCCGGGTGTCCTTCTTCATGGGGTTGCCCAGCTCACACAGTGTCACTCTGGTTTCGTTCTCCTTCTTCTGGGTGCAGGTGAGCCTCTCAAAGCCCTGGGGAAGAGATTCACAGACAGTTGGAAAAGAGAAGCCGTGGGGGTGCGGTGCCCAATATGTCTGCTATAAATGACATTAACAAAATAAAACCAGGCATGGGGACACACAGCCTTTCATTACCACTCGGGAGGCAGAGGCAGGTGGATCTCTTGAGTTCGAGGCTAGCCTGGTCTACAGAGCAAGTTCCAGGACAGCCAGAGAGAGCTACACAGAGAGAACCCTGTCTCAAAACAAACCAAACAAAAATCTGTTCAGGGCTGTCAAGATGGCTCAGTTGGTTAAAGGGGCTTGCCACCAAACCTGACAATCTCAGTTCAATTCCTGGGACCTACAAGATAGAAGAAGACAACTAATTCCCATGGGTTGTCCTCTGACCCCTCTACATGCTCACTGTGGTGAAAGCGTGCACACACACACACACACACACACACACACTGAACATAATGTGTGTGTGTATATATATATATATAATAAGTGTATATGTATATATACATACATAGTATACACACACACATATACATTATACATACTTGAGTGTGGTGGCTCATGCCTACAATTCCAATACTTGGGAGGCCGAGGCAGAAGTATCAAGAGTTCAAGGCTGTCCTGGACTAACTAGTGAGTTCCAGGCCAGTATGGCTTCAGAGTGAGACTCTTTCTCAGAAGATGAAAACACCGGGCTGGGGGAGCTGGCTCAGTGGTAAGTACCTGCTGCGTGACCAATCGGACCTGAGTCTGGTCCCCAGAACCCACGGGAAAAGCGGGTGTGGGGGCACATGCCTGTCATCTCCGCACCAGGGAGGTGGAGAGAGGAGGTTCCCTGGGCTCCTGACCAGCCAGTCTAGCTGAATCTGGGAGTTTCAGGTTCAGACAGTGAGAGATTTGTCTCAAAAAACGAGCACGCAAGCAAACAAAAACAAAGTGAATGACACATAAGGCCAGTCTCTGACTTCCACAGGCACGTGCACACACATCACATACACACTTGCTCACTGTGCACACACATGCACGCACAAACATTGAATTTAATTTAACAATTCCTGTGTAAGTGCCTGCCAACATTATGGGAAAAGACTAAGTCAGCAAATGTGTGTGTGTGTGTGTGTGTGTGTGTGTGTGTAAACCAGAGTTTGATATCGGTATTTTTCCCCAGTAGTTCTCTATGTTTATTTATTGAGACAGGGTCTCAGGGATGTGGCTAGCCTGCCTGGCCTATGAGCTTTAGGGTTACACCCATCATTAAATCCCCAGTACTAGGGTTCCAGGATCACACTGCCATACCTGGCTTTCCCATGGGAATCCAAACCCAGGTTCTCTGCTTGGGTGGCTGGAACCTTCCCAACTGAGCCATCACCCCAGCTCCCCAGTAGATGTTAAAGGGGTTCTAATTAACACTGGCTTCCTGAGCCTTTTGGTGGTTTTGTAACAGGGTTCTTCGAATTTGTACCATTAGCCAGCATTTCTCATGTGCACGTCACACCTACACGCATTGCATCTAAAAGCTGAAAACATCTTTATAGTAGAGCATAGGAACAGTGAAGATTTGGGTGGGAGGCCGGAGTCAAGGCTCTCACGCCTGCTGCCTGCTGCCTGCTGCCTGCTGGCTATGCCCGGGGTAGCACCTCACCTCAATGTTGCTCAGAGCCCGCATGTAGTGGGCACCCGGAGGTAAGTGCACAGCCAGTTCTGCCTCATAGGCTCCCTCACCCTCATTGGCTGCATCAATCTTCAGCTCCAACACGTTCTCAGCACCAATCAGAAGTGGGGAGTTCCCCCTGTGTGTGGAGGGAGTGCTTGGTTTAGAGGAGGAGGAGAGGGGACTCAGGTAAGGTGTGGGTCTCCTGGGGCATGGAGGGACAGGGTAGGTAGAGTGGAAGACCCTCTCACACAGTGGCTGTGAGTTGGAGCTGCGGCACACACAGGTCGTCTTCCCCACAGTCCAGGATGATCCGGGTCTAGGGGACACAATAGGATGTGTGGGTAAGCTGAGGGCTTGTGGGTTTAGGGGTCACCTCAGAGAGCTCAGAACAACAGTGGCTCCAGGGGTCCTTTCAGGCTTTAGGGAGTATGGGATGGAGTGTGTATAAAGGTTTGGGATGATGCCCAAGTTCTGGGATAGCAGGGTTTACCAATCTACGACAATGTTGGGGGGTCACTGAGATTCGGAGAATTACATCAGGATTTGGGGGTGACTTCAAGGTTTGGGATTCATGGTTACAACCTCTTCCCCAATCTTAATCCCCCTACCAGGGATCTTGCCCGGTTCTTGCTTGTCCCACTGACCCCACCTGCTCCTGGACATAGGTCTCTCCATGCAACACCACAGCAGAGGCTCCTCCAGTCTCTCCCGGGGGCAGCGACACGTTGAGGCTCAGTACAATGGGGCTCAGCTTGTCCCGGAAGTCGGCCTCATCCTAGCAGATGGCAAGAGTCAGGCTAGCCTGCTCCAGGGCCCACCCACACCCTTTGCTTGAGTCCTAGGACTGTTTGAACTGCCTGGGGGGGAGAACCCTGCACACCCAGCTCCGCCCGTTTTAGCCTGAGCATACTCGAAGGAAGGCCATGGTGGTGTGGCAGATAGTTCTGTTCTTTCCACCCAGGTCCAGACTCAGCGTGAGGCTCGCCTGCTGAGAGGCCAGCAGCAGCACTCGGCGGGCCTGGCGGGGCTTCTTCAGGTCCAGCTGCAACTCTGCCTTCAGCTCTGCAGGGCAGGCGAGCCGGAAGGATCCAGGTCTCCCTCTAGTGGGGACAGCCAGACCTTCCTTCCTCCAACCCTCCCTCCAGGCCACTCACGCAGCTTCTGAGGAATGTTGTGCCCGGTGGCGCCCACACACATCTGGATGTTGAAGCTGTAAAGATGAGAGCGGGTTTGGGGGGTGGGGCCTCTCTGAGGTCCCAAACCCTGCCAAGTCCGTGACTTCCACCTCCTCACCAGCTGACTGGCGTCTGGGTCTGTTCCAGGACGCAGTTCTTCACGGTGGGATTCAGGGAGTCTTGAACCAGCAGCTGGACAGTGGCCATCACCACAGCCTGAGCTCTGATGGGATCAGAGGAGGCTCACCAGTGTGTCCCTCCTGACCCAGCCTCCTCTGATGATGTGGTCCTTCCCCCCAGCCAGTGCTCACCTGTACACGGCAACTTTGCTAGCCCCATAGGCTCCCACAATTAGGTCTATAGACACAGGGAGAGGGGTTAGAAGTGGCCATTAGAGCAGGCATAGAGCGAGTCTTTATCTTCCAAAAAGTTCTCTACACCATCACCGCCCCCCCCCCCCGCCCCCGAGGTTCTGCCCCCGAACCCCAGCATCCCAGCCACACAGACAAGTTAGAGCCCACAGCTGGTGCCAGGTGAGACATGAAGCTCCAGCTGTTGGTCTCTCCGCATTCCCAGCAAGTGCTCAGAGGCCTGTCCTGACTGGCTGGATGCAAGGCACAGGCACCTGGGTATCCATTGTCATCGACGTCTACGGCGCCGCGGAGGGAGAAACCAAAGCCCGAGCCTGTGGGGAAGGGGCTGTCCAGGACCTGGGAGGGGCGTGGACTCAGCCCCTCGCTCTGACCCAGGAACACCAGCACTTGGCCCTGACCACTGGGACCCCCATAGGGGGCAGCCACAGCAACATCTGGAAGGAGAGAAAGAATGTGGCTGTTTGTGATCGGGTCTCCCCAGGGGATGCTGCCAATCTCTCTTGAGTCTTCTCTGGGGAGGCCCTGGGAGACCAGAAGGGTACAAAGTCCGTATGGAGGAGGCAGGAGAGAGATCAGTCAAGTATTAACAATTGGTATTAAAGCTCCAACACTCCTCACTGTCCCCACATCAAGGAAACACACTAAGACTCCATTTACTCCTGACAATTAGGAGTATTATTGTTAATTTGAGACAGGTTTGGTTTTTTGTTTGTTTGTTTGGTTGGTTGGTTGGTTGGTTTTTCTGAGATAAGGTCTCTCTTTGTATCCCTGGCTGTTCTGGAACTCACTCTGTAGACCAGGCTGGCCTTAAACTCACAGAGATCTGCCTGCCTCTGCCTCTCTGTGCTGGGATTAAAGGTGTTCGATAATATGCCAGTGAGACAGGGTGGTATGTGTCACAAACTGGCCTCTAATTATTCACGTAGCTGAGGATGACCTTGAACTTCTGGCCCTCCTGCCTCCACCTCCTCTGTGCTGGGAGGACTGGTACTGGCGCCACCACACCTGGTTTATGCTGGGTTGAGGCCTTGTGCATGTGAGGCAAGCTATTAGCTCAGCCACAACCCTGCCCTTAATTCCCATTTTAGAAGAAGATTAAATAACTGAGCCCAGACCAGGCCAGCAAACTTCTTAGTTTGTGTGAGGTCCTAGATTTAATTCCCAGTAATGGAAGGAAAAAAAAAAGTAGGCCCGGTGTGCTAGTGCACACTTTTAATATCAACATTCACGAGGCAGAGGTAGGCAGATCTCTCTGAGTTCAAGGCCAGCTTGATGTACATACTGAGTTCCAGGCCAGCTAGGGCTACATAGTCAGACCCTGTCTCAAAACACAAAACCAAACTGAAAAACAAATAAAAACTAGCTGAAACCTGTTTTCCAGACGGTAACTCTGTTTCACCTTCACGGAGCAAACAAACTCCCAGCCGCCACACCCTAGTTTATCAACCCCAGAGCCTTTAAGACCCTCCTTGAGAGCGCATCTGCTAGCAGCCTCAGGATTTTATGAGCTCTTTTCCTATGTAACTAACTTAGATCACGTGTCTGTGTGTTTGAACCGTCTTCCCTTCATCTTCTGATTTTGTTTACAGTACGTCTTGATCACCATAATCATAATTCAAACAAAAGTGCTTAACCCCAGCCTTCAGGACACAGAGGCAGGTGGATCTCTGCGAGTTTGAGGCCAGCCTGATCTACATGGAGAGTTCCAGGCCAGCCAAGGTTACACAGTGAGACCTTGTCTCAAAAAGCAAACAGAGGCCTCTGACCACAATGGTGTCCTGGAGTCCAGGGCCCCGTCTCTGTCCTGGTCTTGGTCTTCATGGATTTACTGACCATTTGATTCACTGTTAATTTTTGCAGCCTTCTTGTCCCATGGCCAGTTTTGGGTCCGCCTGGCCAGATTCTACCTGGAGCTAATTCAGCTCAGGGTTGCAGGAGACAGAGCAGAAGGGCACTGTGGCCTCCGAATCCCCAGCCTTCCTTGGGACCCTTGGGGCCTCTCCACCATCTTGTGGATTTCCCCACAGCACCTCTTTCTGTCTCCTCTCTGCCAGGCTGTCAGCCCGTTTCCTTCGGTAAGGGACCCACTGTCTTCCTGCTTTCTCCAGGGGACCTTCAAATTGGTATCTCCTGCCTATGGATGGAGTGTCTGCATCCCCAGGCATCATAGGGACCCTCATCTGGCTGACCCCCTCCAGTTCCCAACATGGCTATTTTTCCTTTGTATTCATTACACTCCCCACTCTTCCTAAAATGATCTTCCCATGGTCCCCATCCCTCAGTCCATGATGGCTCCCCTTTCCACAGCCAAATTGATGAGAGAGTTGTCTGTCCTGCCTGCTGAGTGCTTTACCTCTGTTCATGCCCTGGACCTGGCCCCAGTGATCTTCTGGGCCCTAAGGTGCCCTTCTTGAGTGGTTTTTTTTTGTTTGTTTGTTTTTGTTTTTGACAGAGAGTTTTATGTATCCCAGGCTGCTCTCCAGCCTCTTAGGTAGCAGAGGGTCTTAGGTAGCAGGACTTCTGTCTCTCCTGTCTCCACTTCCTGGGTGCTAGGATTACTGGTACACACCACCATACTGGCCTGGGTTGGTCCTTGACACCACCACCAAGGAGCTCATCCTTGCTAAGCCCATGATGTTTTCCCAGTCCCATCTAACTGTACCTTTCAGGAGTGAGGGGGCCACTCGGCCCATCCCTCCCTCCTGCTTAAAGTACTCTCTCAGAGTTTTGGGCCACCAATCTCCTGATTTCTCTCCCATCTGTCTAAACACTATTTCCCAGAGCGACCTTCTCGGGGTGTTCCCTGAATGCCCTTTCGCTTCCCAGGCTTCTACACTGGGCCTCCTCTTAACTCCCAGGCTCCAGATCCTATCCACGCTTCCCGGGTCTCCATCTCACCCTCAGCCCTCTCTAGAGGAAGTGTGCAAAGTCAATTGCGACAGTTCACGGTTCTCACCATATTTCCACCCAATAGTCCCAAGCCCTTCAAAACCAGCTAACCCAGAAGTGAACCACGGACCTCCTTGCTCCCCACTTCCACTCAACTCCCTTCTCATCCTGACTCCATATTCCATTTCCCATCCAGCCTTAATAGTACAAGCCCTAAATATATTGTAAAGTCACCGCATCTCTAACTCCATTCTCCCAATCTGCATGCAGGGGTCATCGTGTTGGGACCTAGACAAACTGCCCTAATTGGATTCCTTGAACCCTGGTACCCACTTTCTAATCAGCAGTCAAGCTTTTTCTGGCTCCTGCTGCCCAAGATCTCAGCCTCTCTCCTACTGGGATTACAAGTGTACTCTGCCTTAAATTCATCTTTTTGTTAGGGCTATTGACCCTCTTAAGGCCAAACACAGCAGCTCTTCCACTCACCATTATAGCCATCCCGGTTGAGGTCACCCAAGGGTGCAATGGCAGATCCAAATCTCCCATAGAGCTGAGTGCCAGTCAGCAGGAGAGTGGGTGTGCCCAGAACATAGGGGCCCTGAGGCTGCAGAAACAAATACACACGGCCCACCTCGGCCAGCTTGCGATCCGCCCTGTGGTCCATATACAATGGAGCCCCCACCAGTAGGTCGTGCCTCCTGTGGACCAGATGGGCAAGGTTAGGTGCCGTTGAGCTAGGAAGGTACTAGGAACGAGGGCAGTTCTGGGCTACCCTTGGGACAAGATGAGGGTAACTCCTGCTGCTGGCAGTTGAGGACCCAACTGGGTAAGGGGCATTCCCTCTTCTCACCCGTCCCCGTTGACGTCAGTGACTGCCACTGAGTGCCCGAAATACGAAGCCACCTACAAGATGAAGAGAATTTTAGTCTGTGCTTCTGAGCTCAGCATCCTCTATTAGACATCACCCTCAGATCCTATGAACTATTTTAGGGGTGTGTCTTAATTCCCTGACATTGGCCACTTCCATGGGGCCACCGCTGCTCCCACCTGCTCTCCAAGTAGCCGGTGCAGCTTCTGGTAGTAGGAGTCCAGAATTTCCACCTGCATGGAGAAACATACCCAAGTGCGTCACTCATGCTCCCTCTGTGACTTCCCACTCTCATTGAGATAGGGCAGGGAATTGGCGAGTGTGTGTGGGGGGTAAACAAGAGTTCTGGTGTCGGCGGTTCGGAATGTCAAACGGTGGGAGAGCCATCACTCACCGCTCCCAAGGTCCAGCTCCAAGTGGGGGCACCGAATACGTACTCTGGGAAGAGCAAGGCTCAGCAAATCAGATCCTCAGAAACCGCTTACTTACTCCATCCTCACATAGGGACCCAGGGGAAATTGTACGGAGGGAGGTGCTCCTGCCCCAGGGCTCCCCACCCGCCCCTAACAGCATTCCTTGCCTGTAGTGCTCAGATCCCCATCGAACTCGCCCACGGCCACCGAGTACCCTGAAAACAGCACAGTTTAGCGTTTAAAGCAAGGAGGAAGACCTCGGTCAGGAAAGGAGGGTCATGAGTACCGAGGTTATCAGTACAAACTGCATTGTGAAGGTGGAAAAACTGAGGCGTGCTGGAGGTCTTACTTGAGTCCAAGCAGGGAAGGGCGAGCCAACGTGGACGGGAGTTGGACAGGTGTGGGGGAAGAGGCGGGAACCGAGGGCGGGGTGCTTTTGCGCTGGGGACTAGTTAAGATTGGCAGAAAACCTCGGACAGGGGTGGGACCTGACTTTTTGGGTTCTGGGAAGCCTAGAAAGGAGATGCCAAGGTTACCCCGGTAGCCGTCGAAGTACACTGAGCTGCCATAGTCAAAGGTGAAGCGCTGGTTGGGAACATGCCACAAAAGGGTACCCGGTTGGTAACTAGAGATGATATTCGCAATTGGAACCCGAACCAGGAGACCTGGGAAGGGCACAGGGACAGGAGGTGTGGGGCCCCAGACGCCTGGGTCTCCCCAAATCACGAGATGAGAGTGGGTTGGGTTACTGGGCACGTACCTAAAAAATAGTAGCCACCAGGAGCCCCAAGCACTAGCTCGCCATCCTGAAAGGGAAGTCCCGGTCGTGAGAGAGCCCCGTATTCTGGAACAACCCAAATATCACTTTGCCTGCATGATGTTCTTTTGTTTGTTTTTCGAGACACAGTTTCTCCGTGTAGCCGTAGCTGTCCTGAAACCCACTCTGTAGACCAGACTGGCCTCAAACTCAAGAGATCCACCTGACTGCCTTCTGAGTGCTGGGACTGAAGGTGTGTGCCACCATCGCCTGCCGGGCTGCATGATGTTCTCATATTCATCCATTCTCATTCTCCCCGCCACCCCGTCTCCTTTTAAGAGGAGTCTCACTTTGCAGCTCAGGCTGGCTTCAAACTCGCGATCCCCCTGCCTCAGCCTCCAGGCCGAGCTCTCTACTGCTCTTGCCTGCGACTTGCCTGGGTCACCGCAGAGCTGAAGCCGGCCTCACAGTATCGCTTGTCTGGGCCTACAAGGGGCAAGTGGGGGGGGTCAGCCAAGGGTCGGCTCCGGGAGCTCGCGCTTTAGCCAGGAATCCCGCGTGGGCAAGCAAAACTATGCGGGGCGGGTGCGGGGAGGGCCTGGAGGCGGGACCCCAGGGGGCGGGGCGTAGCCGAGGGCCCGGCTCTCAGGGCGCGAGGTTGGTGGCGGGGCGGGGTTTGCAGCTATCAGAGGGCGGAGCCAGAGGCGGAACAGCGCTTACCAAAAATTTCTGCGTAAGCCGAGCTCATGATGTTGGTGCGACAGGGCGAGTACTCTGCACGGCCGCCGTTTTGTAGCTGAGCCACGAAGCAGCCACCCACTGGCGTCTTCTCTGCCTCATCGGTCTTTTCTAGGACATTCCAGTGCTGCCAGGGGGCGCAGGCCTAGAGCAGAGTCACAGGAGAATGGGGAAGGGCGCGATATTCGGGCTTCCCCCATCAATGTCGCTGGCCTGGATTTGCTCCCTGTGACCTGTCCACAGTGCCTACCACAATGACATCATTCCAGCTGACGACCGATGCCCCAAGTCCTTGCCCGGTCCTGAAGGTTTGGAAAGACTGCAAGCCTACGTGACGGGTCTCATCCCCTGGAGGACACAGAAAGGGTGGATTTCTGGAGCCCCGCCATCCACTTCCACCTGGCTCCCCCTTTCCCCTCCATGCCGGAGACTCACTTAGTTCGAAGGCCAGCGAGGTGCACTCGCCGCCACTGGCCTTCCAGGGGCACAGGAACACGCCACCAGTCTCCTCCTGACTTGCGCTTAGGGCCCTGGGGGCGCCCACCACGATGGACACGCTGTGTAGGCAAGCTGGGTGAGCAGGGCTCAGGGTCTTTCTATCCTGTCCGGTGCCCGCCACCCACCACCCCAGTAGTACCAGGAAAGAGGTGTGGCATAGGTCTCATATGGACCATCTTCCCTCACAGATACCCCATTAAGGCCAACTTCTTCATTTTAGGGGCAGCTGAAACTGTATTCTTAGGAAATTCACCTAGGACTAAACCAGTTGGTTTGTTTTGGACAGGAAGGGTTTAATAATCCTTACTGAAGCCGGGTGGTGGTGGGGCACGACTTTAATCCCAGCACTCGGGAGGCAGAGCCTGGCGGATCTCTGTGATTCGAGGCCAGCCTGATCTACAGAGCGAGATCCAGGACAGGCACCAAAGCTACACAGAGAAACCCTGTCTCGAAAAACCAAAACCACCACCATCACAACAACAAAATCCTTACTGAAAACACCTGCTATGCTTCATACACTGATATCCCCCACTCCCTCCCAACAAGAACCAAACAAACTGTTTGCCTTGTCTAACTTAATGGATCCCTTAGTAGAACTGTTTTGAATGGTGAAGGATGCTGTAACCTCGGGTGGGGATGTGTGGTGCTGACAGTGTTGAGGATCCTAGCAGACCAAAGTTTAAGTCAGTTCTGACGTTTGTAAAGCAGGGATAGTATCAAGCAATTATGTTGTTGGAAGAGTAGATGCAATAAATGTATGACAGGTATTTAGTACGCCCTCAGCCACACGCTTTTGTGAAAAGTGTGTGTGTTAATAAACAACAGGATGCTTATTAAATTGTGCCCACAGGACCCATGCTTGGGGAAAGGAGTTGAACTGAGTGTCAGGCCCTGTGTGAACACTCAACAGCTCCGAAGACAGGAGATTTTTGTTTATTTGGTTGGTTGGCTTTGTTTTTTTCGAGACAGGGTCTCACTATATAGCTCTGACTGTCCTGGAAGTCACTATGTAGATGAGGTTGGCCTCGAACTCACAGGGATCTGCCTGCCTCTGCCTCCCATTAAAGGGGAATAAAGGCCTGCACCACCACACCCAGCTCAGGAGTTTTTCTTTCTTTCTTTGACAGATTCTTGTTATGTGTCCCTGGCTATTTAACTTGTGGTAACAGCTCTGCTTCAGCCTCCCTGGGTTTACAAGCATGTGCCACCACACTCAGTTACAGAATCGTGAGAGTTGAGGCAACCCCAGATCTCTTTCCCTTCATGGACAGTCTCTGGATGCAAGCCATCTTGGGAAGGGGGCCTGGCTTTTGTTGAAATGGCTCTTTTAGGCAGACGAGATGATTCCTTACACCTGTCCTTGAGAACAGTCATTACTATTCCCCTGACACTGGGCATTCCAGTGTCCATCACAAAGTCACTCAGGCTAAACACAGCTGTGAAGATGAGCCAGGAATCTTAGCAGTTTGATCTCAAAGCCTGATCATTGCTGACTGTTAGTAATTTATTACTTCTTTTCAAATATCTATAATTTGGAAAGAGATGAGGTTCAAAATGGAGAAAAGCAAGACGCAGTAGGTGGGCACTTGTATCTCGGCCAGTCAATTTTGGATGACTGGCCGAGGGTAAAGTGAGTCATATCACTGACCCTTGGGGACAAAGAAGACATAAGCTTTTACCTTTTCTGTTCAGTGTTCATCTCCCCATTGGTATCCTTCCTTGGCACCCTCACTGGAACCTGCCCCTCCCCAGCATTCCTGACAAGAGCTGGACCCAAACAGACACTAGACTCCACCTTGCTCAACTAGGGAAGGAGAGGCCATAGAGGCAACGATCGGAGGCAGTCTTCTCTCAACACCCGTTTTTCCCCTGGTACTCACCTCCCATGGTTGTCCTTGTGAAAGTCCACAGAAAATCCAAAGTGGCTGCCATTGGGACCTGCATAGATGGTGAGCATCACAGGGTCCAGGTTCAAGGCCCAGGCTGGAGGAGCAGGACTAGGTCCCAAGAACAGTGGTATCCACGGCAGGAGCCACAGGGCATGCCATTCACACGAAGCTCTAGCCATCCTCCTGCCCAAACCTCCTAAACAGGAATGGACCAGCTCTTTCCTCTTCCCTAAAGCTCCCACCACAGGAAGTTTCAGCTTATCAAACTGGAACTTAAAGTAACTGCTGAGCAGCAGGCATGGCGGAGGGCAATAACCCCTAAATCGCATGGTCTGTAGGATTACCAGGAAGGAGGAGGGGCCTCTCTGGGGATGGATCTTAGTGCTGAAAGCCATTGCTCACCCTTTTTTTCTAGGATAGCTCATCTCCAAGCCTGCTTCAGGGATGCATCCCTTGAAATCCTTTTTTCTTTTCTTTTTATTTTATTTTTATTTATTTTCTTAGTTATTTTGGTTTTTAGAGACAGGGTTTCTCTGTGTAGTTTGGTGCCTGTCCTGGATCTTGCTCTGTAGATCAGGCTGGCCTCGAACTCACAGAGATCCGCCTGGCTCTGCCTCCTGAGTGCTGGGATTAAAGGTGTGCGCCACCACTGCCCGGCCTTGTTTTTGTTTTTGGAGACAGGGTTTCTCTATGTAGCCTTGGCTGTCCTGGAACTCACTCTGTTGACCAGGCTGGCCTTGAACTGAGAGACCCACCTGCTTCTGCCTCCCAAGCTCTGGGATTAAAGGTGTGCGCCACCATTGCCCGTCTTTGAAAACCCGTTCCATCTCCACCGCCACTGTCTCCACGTCACTATGCCAGGCCAACCACTGTCCCCTGCTGCCTGGGACAGTGCAACTGTAAACTGGTGTAAAATGACCGTGATGATCCTTTTACTGGATTGAGTATTTGAATCCTTTGAGAGCAAGGGTCCTTTCTGCTGTCCCAGGGCCTAGCCAGAGGCCCACTGTGTGGTGGTGTTGAATGGCTGAAGTCTTCCTGAAGAGTGGACGGAGCGAAGAGCCACAGAGCAGGAAGGTCTGTTCTACTTCACCATGGCCCAGAGCTGAACAGCTCTTTCCTCCCCTACTTAGCTGACTGTCCTGCTCTTGAACACTATGACTTGGCCAGAGATGGAGGAAGGATTGAGGAAGCTGCTCTCTCCTGATAAGACCTGAGGCGGCCATCATTCTGAGTACGGCGTTTATCCACTTCCTCCTCCCGGAGCCTTTGGACAGCCTCAGCCAGCAGTATTGGGGTCCATCAGTTCCTGACTTCTTCGCCTCGAATCAAGTCTTTGTGTGGCCACACGGATGCCTTCAATATCGGGGAAAGGTAGTGAATGGATCTTGGCCTAAGTGGGGAGGAGATGGGGCTAAAATGACATCATCCCAGGGTGTGCTGTTCACAGTCCCTGAAATGAAGCACCAGCTGTTCAAATGGACAGCTTCACTCCTTCTCGGGTGACAGTTAGTATCTAACCATAAACAACTGATTCTGAGCCAAGTGGTGGCGGCACATTAGTCCGCCTTTAGTCCCAGCTCTTAGGAGGCAGAGACAGGAGGATCTCTGTGAGTTCCAGGCCAGCCTGGTCTACAAATCAAGCTCCAGGACAGCCAGGGCTACACAGAGAAACCCTGTCTTGAAAAACAGACAGACAAGCAAAAAAAGAATTGATTCTGGATGGCGCTCTCAGGTTGGCATCTTGCCATACACACATGGGTACAGTACTGGATGACCGTGATGATCCTTTTACTGGATTGAGTATTTGAATCCTTTGAGAGCAAGGGTCCTTTCTGCTGTCCCAGGGCCTAGCCAGAGGCCCACTGTGTGGTGGTGTTGAATGGCTGAAGTCTTCCTGAAGAGTGGACGGAGCGAAGAGCCACAGAGCAGGAAGGGTCAGAAAGGTCCTCTTCTGTGGACCAGGCAAGCAGAAGAGCACCACGCCCTGTGGTCTTGCATGCCTTGGCCCCAAAGCAAAGGAATAAAGGATCATAGCCACACCCTCCTTTCAGTCTGTGTTCTCTCTCTCTCTCTGTCTCTCTCTCTCAGTACTAGGAATAGCCTCACGCATATAAGACAAGTGCTCTATTACTGAGCCATGTACCCCAGGCTTGATCTTTATTTCTGATTAACCACTGCCTATCTTACTTGGCCACCCTATCCCATTTTGAAGTCCTTTTAATTCCCCCTCTCCTCTCATACTTCATCACCTCAGCAAACAGCTAAAATTTTTATTCTTCACTAAGCGAAAAGCTCCTTGGATTTTATTCAGGGCTTTCTTCACTGGTGTGTTCTCAGTGCCAAATTCATGGCAAGCATGCAACGCATGCATCAGAATGAATCCTTAACGAGGCCTCTGCTGACCTGCTGACGCGCTGCCTTCCCACTCTTCTCAAGTGAGTAGCTCCTGCACTGCTGCTGAATGCTGGGAAGCCTAATTCTATCAACTCACATCACACTGCAGTTGTTTTGCTTGAATTTTGTTTTGTTTTCGTTTTTTGAGACAGGGTTTCTCTGTGTAGCCCTGGCTGTCCTGGAACTTGCTCTGTAGACCAGGCTGGCTTTGAACTCAGACATCTGGCTGCCTCTGCCTCCTGAGTGCTGGGATTATAAAAATGTGCACCACCAAGATTTTTTTGTATTGTTAACTGCTCTTCATATGTGTGTGCTTATCTGCATCATGTGTGTACAAGTGCCCATGAAGGCAAGAGGGTTTTGGAACCCCTGGAACTAGAGTTATAAGCAGTTGTGACAGGGGTGTAGGCAACTGAATCTGGGTCCTCTGCAAGAGCGGTAAATGCTCTTAACTGCTGAACCGTCTCTCTAGTCCCATGCACTAGAGTTTTGTTGTGTTTTTTTCACCGTGTAGCCCTGGCTGTCCTGGAAATAGCTCTGTAGACCAGGCTGGCCTCAAACTCCCAAGAGATCCACTTACTTCTTCCTCCTGAGTGCTGTGATTAAAGATGTGGGTGTGCCACCACATCCAGCTCCCATGCACTAGAGTTTTAAAAAAGTACTTCCTGTTTGGTGTATAGAAACTACAAAGACAACAGCCAAGGATCTTCAACTTAGTCCAGAGACAGTAAAGCCCAGGACACTCAGGACTGCCACCGGGTGACAGCAAGTGCACCTTGGGAAACAGAAATTAGGAGGCAACTCTATGAAACAGATACTACCAGGACTATTTCATAAGGGCAGAAACTAGCAGAGTTCTGGGTAAACTGTCCACATGGAGAATGTCAACGGGCAACAAAAGTGGGATTCAAACCCAGGTTCCCCTGTCCTGCTGATGCTGGCAATAATGTAAGCAACCAGGGCAGAAGAGAGGTCAGGAATGAGGAAAGGTACGTAGAGGGCTAAGTGAAGGGTGTCTAGTGAAGGGTGCTTAAAGGGGCGGGTGGGCATGAGGGCAGGAAGGGCAGGCAGGGACTTAGATCACTGGAGGGTACTTGAATGCCACACTAAAGGAATTTGAACTTCGGCCCATAGGAGATGGAGAATCCTAAAGATTTTTTATTTTGGTTTTGAGACAGGGTCTTGATATGTAGACCAGTTTGGTCTGGAATTCAAGAGATCTGCCGGCCTTTGTCTCCTTGTGCTAGGGTTAAAGGTGTGTGTCAACATGTCCAGCTGTCTCAAGATTTTAAAAGTTAGTAAGAGATCAAATTGTCAGTTTTAGCAAGTTAGCTCAATAGGGGAAGAGGCAACTGCTTTCAAGCTTAATGATGTGCATTCCATCCTCAGGTTGTACAAGGTCGTAAGAGACCAACTCCTCTGACCTCCACATGCTTGCTAGCATTCAAACAAAATAAATTAAGAAGAGATTGTGCTGGCTAGTTTTATGTCAACTTTACATAGACTAAAGTCATCTAAGAGGAGGGAACCTCAACTAAGAAAATGCCTCCAAGCCAGGTGGTGGTGGTACACACCTTTAATCCCAGCACTGGGGAGGCAGAACCAGGCAGAGTCCAGCCTGGTCTACACAGCCAATTCCAGAACAGCCAGGGCTATATGGAGAAACCCTGTCTTGAAAAACAAACAAACCAAAAAACCAACCAAACGAAAGAATATGTATCTATAAGATCAGGTTGCAGGCAGGCCTGTAAGGCATTTTCTATTAAGAAAATGTGATTGACGAGGAAGGGCCCAGCCCATTGTGGGTGGTGCCATCCCTGGGCTTGTGGTCCTGGGTTCTATAAGAAAGCAGGTTGCCGGGCGGTGGTGGCACACGCCTTTAATCCCAGCACTCGGGAGGCAGAGGCAGGCGGATCTCTGTGAGTTCGAGGCCAGCCTGGGCTACCACGTGAGTCCCAGGAAAGGCGCAAAGCTACACAGAGAAACCCTGTCTCGAAAAAAAAAAAAAAAAAAAGAAAGCAGGTTGAGCCAGGAGGTGGTGGCGCACGCCTTTAATCCCAGCACTTGGGAGGCAGAGGCAGGCGGATCTTTCTGAGTTCAAGGCCAGCCTAGTCTACAGAGCGAGATCCAGTAAAGGCGCAAAGCTACACAGAGAAACCCTGTCTCGAAAAACCAAAAAAAAAAAAAAAAAAAAAAAAAGAAAGCAGGTGGAGCAAGCCAGTAAGCAGCACCCCTCCATGGCCTCTGCATCAGCTCCTGCCTTCAGGTCCCTGCTCTGACTTCCTTTGATGATGAACTGTGATGTGTAAGTCGAAGCTTAAAAAACTCCGTTCGTCCCCAAGTTGCTTTCATCATGGTGTTTCACTGAAGGAGCAGAAACCCTAAGACAGAGAGAGATTCAATGACGAACTGTGCTCCAATTTAGAGTATGACACTGGCTGCCTGTGGCTACAACAGACGGGAGAAGGGACACTGTGGAAAAACCAGCTGAGTCGGTCAGCATTCTGGGTTAAAGGTGGTGATGCCTGAACCAGGTACTGGTGGCAAGAAAGAGACAGCAGAGATGGGCACAGTGACACAAGACTATAATCCAGCAGGATGAGGCAGGAAGAAGACAGATACATCAAGTCTGAGGTTAGCCTGGGCCATACAGCAAGTCACCAAGGCCATCCAAGGCTACATACACAGCAATGCTGTCTCCAAAAACCAAGAAAGAAACTGCAGCTAAGGACAGAATCAGGAGCTGGAAGTGGCCAAGGTAATCCAAAGGCTTGGTCCCCAGTTAGCTGGTGGACTATGATATTCATTAAAAGCAGAAACCGGAGGAGGGAAGATGAGATTTGGGCCAGGGAGAGGACTGCAGACTGCATTCCTTTGGTGTCAGAACTGGGTTATCTCCCTGCTGAAAGTGGATCGAGGATTGGTAATATTCTCACTTTCTTATTCCATCAGTCTGAGGTCCTAAAAATCCCTCAATGAACCTAGCTCTGTTTTGGCTTCATTTAGTCAGCAACCATCAAGCTTCTATCATAGTTTGTTTGGCACTGAGCAAGGTTAACAGAGAATGCCTGAAGGAGTTTTGTTTTAAAGGAGCTATAAGAATTAGATTATCTTCTCAGAGCTCACAATTATACTGGAAACAGTGAATATAAAATGAATGGCACTCGGGTTCTGAAAAGCTGATAAACGTACTTGGGGCAGAGTGTTAGATCCTAGTCAGGGAAGTCAGCCAGGAAAATGCTGCAATAATCAGATAGGAGCTGGTATGGGTGAGGTGGAATTTTCTGTGGCAACAAGAATAGAAATGGTTGACAAGGTCTGGATTAGTCATCAAGGGTGTAAAAGAGGGAGTACTTTCGTGTTTCAAGCCTAGATGGCTGAGCCCTTATCAGAACAAAGCAATTGATTTCACACAGCACAGGCTACGCAGACAGACCGACTTCACACAGCACAGGCCATGCAGACAGACAGACCGACTTCACACAGCACAGGCCATGCAGACAGACCGACTTCACACAGCACAGGCCATGCAGACAGACCAACTTCACACAGCACAGGCCATGCAGACAGACCGACTTCACACAGCACAGGCCATGCAGACAGACAGACCGACTTCACACAGCACAGGCCATGCAGACAGACCGACTTCACACAGCACAGGCTATGCAGACAGACCAACTTCACACAGCACAGGCCATGCAGACAGACAGACCGACTTCACACAGCACAGGCTATGCAGACAGACAGACAGACTTCACACAGCACAGGCTATGCAGACAGACAGACTTCACACAGCACAGGCCATGCAGACAGACAGACCGACTTCACACAGCACAGGCCATGCAGACAAACTGACTTCACACAGCACAGGCCATGCAGACAGACAGACTTCACACAGCACAGGCTATGCAGACAGACAGACTTCACACAGCACAGGCCATGCAGACAGACAGACTTCACACAGCACAGGCCATGCAGACAGACAGACTTCACACAGGACAGGCTATGCAGACAGACTTCACACAGCACAGGCTACGCAGACAGACAGACCGACTTCACACAGCACAGGCTATGCAGACAGACAGACTTCACACAGCACAGGCTACGCAGACAGACTGACTTCACACAGCACAGGCTACGCAGACAGACAGACCGACTTCACACAACACAGGCTATGCAGACAGACCGACTTCACACAGCACAGGCCATGCAGACAGACAGACTTCACACAGCACAGGCCATGCAGACAGACAGACTTCACACAGCACAGGCTACGCAGACAGACTGACTTCACACAGCACAGGCTACGCAGACAGACAGACCGACTTCACACAACACAGGCTATGCAGACAGACCGACTTCACACAGCACAGGCCATGCAGACAGACAGACTTCACACAGCACAGGCCATGCAGACAGACAGACTTCACACAGCACAGGCCATGCAGATAGACTGACTTCACACAGCACAGGCCATGCAGACAGACAGACTTCACACAGGACAGGCTACACAGACAGACTTCACACAGCACAGGCCATGCAGACAGACTGACTTCACACAGCACAGGCTATGCAGACAGACAGACTTCACACAGGACAGGCTACACAGACAGACTTCACACAGCACAGGCCATGCAGACAGACTGACTTCACACAGCACAGGCTATGCAGACAGACAGACTTCACACAGGACAGGCTACGCAGACAGACAGACTTCACACAGCACAGGCTACGCAGACAGACTTCACACAGCACAGGCTATGCAGCCCTGTCTCTTCTGCTTGCTGCCTTCCTTGCTCTCAGAAATTCACTTCATTAAAAAAAATTAGATTTATATTTACAATTTTTATGTGTGTGAGTGTTTTGCATGCAAGCATGTCCGATGCCCGAGGAGGTGGTGAGCCTCCATGTGGGTGCTAGGAATTGAAGCCGGTTCCTTTGTAACAACAGGCACTCTTAACCACTGAGGCAACTCTCCAGCCCCTTTTCACTAATCCTTTCTTAGAACACAGATCTTTACTATTTCAAACAGTTCTGAGCACTCAGCCTTCCTGTGGTAGAGATCACACAACTACATAGAAGGAAGGAAGGAGGCAGCCATCACCCAACTCTAAAAGGCTGAGGAAGAGGAGAACTATCACTGCGTCCACCTTCCACGCCAGCTTCCCAGGCTCTCCTGAGGTGATTTCCTGGTGTGAGGTGGTCAGGGGCTGAGGACAGTAATTCAAGCCTGGTAATTCAGTTACACCTGGAGGGCAAAGGCCAGAGGAATCTTGTAATTCTGTTGCTCTTAAAGAAGTGCACATCAGCAGTCATCTGGCCACGACTGGGCAGAACACACACGTCTTCCCCTGGAGGTAAACTATAAAGACCCTCAGGCAACCCAAGCTCCCAGAAGAACAATTCCAAGTATCTCCACCTGGTTTAGAAGGATCTACTATTTAATTACTTCCAACAAGACATTGTTTATAACCCACATCTCCAACCTGCCCCAGCCTGAGTGGAAGTGGGAACAATGACAACGGACTCCGCTAAGTTTCCACAAAGCATTGGTTTATTAGAAAGTTCCTTCCCTCATTTTACAGCATATATATCTCTATCATATGTGATAAAGTTAAATACAATCTGTTATGCTTGTAAGTAAGGATAGGTTATTTTGTTTTTCCTTTTTTTTTTTTCTGAAGTTTTAAAACTACTATTCTGGAAGTTAAAGAGAACTGCCTCCAGGAAGGCAGAGAGGCGGCCAGAGTGCAGCTCAATCTACAACCTAACGGGAAGCAGCACAAAATGTTAATACTGTATTGTTTTATTTAAATATTTACATGGGCTGAAAGCAAGGAAAATGAGTCCCTTCACTTCAAATCGATGATTTCATTTTTCCGGGGCTACTTATCCAAAAAGTGATACTTCTGAATCAGACGAGGACTGAGCAGGTAGGAAAGGCTCAGCCGAGCGCCTCGTTCGCCCAGCACTCGCTTCTCATAAACTCAAAACCTCTCCCTTCTGGGGATTCTAGAAGGCATGAATAGAGAAGCTTGGCCGAGGCAAGTAGGGTTGTTTACCTTGTCAGCTGACTGCTTACCCAGTTCTAGTCACAAGAAGAACACTAACAAGAGGAGATGAGACCTGCATGACAAGCACCTTTGGGTCAGAGTGGTACCTAGGGCTGAGAGCCTGGGTGAAGGAAGGCAAGAGGGAAGAGGGACTGATGCACTTCTGGTCAGTGTCACGGGAGAAAAGAAAAAGGAGCCTCTACTGCTGAAACCGAGCTGGGCAGACGGCACACAACCGTGAAGCCAAAGACCTCCATGTCCCTGTAAACGTCGTGCTCACCTCCCAACAGAAAGAGAGAAAACTGTCCCAACTCTATTATCCTCTGGTCTACTTCTATTGTAGTTTCTAGCCAACCCAAAAGGCACATTAAAAAAATTGTCAGAGGGGGCTAAATACTAGGAAGGCAAACAGACTGTCCGGAACGAGGTCCCCAGGGGAACCAAGGGTCCTCTCTCAGACAGTCACCGAGTGTCACTGCTGCCAGAGAATAAAGCTGTTGAATCAGTTTTCCCCTTCTCATGGAGTCCACTGTTTCTCTGTCTAACAAAGCATACCAGGGAGACCACTGAAACGGAGCATCCTCCTGATGCCTGCAGCTGCTTGCTGCCCATTATCTCAAAAATCCCAGTGCAGGATGAACCAATTACTGCAAATTACTTAACACTTGTCCCAGCGGGGAAAAAAAAAAAAAAAAAAGAAGTTGTAACATTTTTATAATTCATAACTTCAAAAAATACAGGAGCTTGATAAAATATACATGCTTAGTCATTTTTGCATCTAGCAGAAAACAAATACTTTATTTTTTTTTTAACTTTATAACCTTTAAAGTTTCTTAATTCAACTAGGGCAAACATATTTACAGAAAGCCACCAG